ATATTACCCTAAAGTCGCGAGTATAAGTTCTGTTTGGTTTTCGCATGCAAATTGACGGCTGTCTCCGGTGCGGTGTGTCGAGGGTTCGAACCCCGCTGCAGCATAACTTTTTTGCTTTTTAAGAACAATAATAGAAGTAAATTTATTGAGGGTTATAGCAATTTTATGCTGTTTGTTGTTGTTGTTTGTTTGTTGCTCCGGGCGTGGCTCGGCCCTGGCCCTGGCCGTGGCCCGGCTCCGGGCGCCCTGCTCCTCTCCAGTGCTTAGTCTTATGGATCCCTCCCTGGCCTCTTCATCCGTTCCCTGGTCCGTCCCTGGTCTCTTCATCCGGTCAAAGTCCACGTCGACGGTCGAAAGAGATGCTTTCCAGCGTCTTCTTCAACACTATCGTCTGGATGTATCCATAACAAATAGCAATGGCGATAGGCTGTCACCCTGTAGTATCCCGCGCTCCGAGAACAATAATAAAAGTTTATATAACAATAAAAATGTATAAAAACCCAACAAAAAGAAATTCAAAGCAATTAAAGCGAATGTAAATTAAGGCAGAACTTATACTCGGATGAACTTATACTCATATATATATATATATATTATATATATATACTTTATCCGACAAGGAAAAGTGACAATGCAAACAGATTGAACAGCGTAGACGAAGAAAGATAATTGATATACAAACACAACTACAATTAGACACGTGTATATATGACATTAAAAACTAATTTAAAATTGACAGAGCTACAAGATCGAGCTTATATATTGAGGATTTAAAATAGTTCAGAGACGAAAAAATATCACAAGGTAACTTATTCCAAATACGAGGAACACGACAAGCAAAAGATCATCTGCATAGAATACTCGAGACTTTAGGGTACACACAAACACAAAAAGCAACACGATATAATGTATATAATATTTGGATTTGGACTGCCAGAATTCGGAATCGACTCCCCAGAGTTTTGAGAGAGTCCAATAGACTCGTAATCTTTAAATAATCTGTAGATGATCTTGTTCTTGAAGCTCTAATGGATCCTTATGCATTTACCTAATATTTAAATTGATTTTATTGACACTTTAAGCATTTAAGCATCGAATGCTTTAAATAATCTGTAGATGATCTTGTTCTTGAAGCTCTAATGGATTCTTGACTTTATCTATACTATCTATACAATCCATCCACTATATCGTGTTGCTTTTTATCGGCCCTTTTCGTGTTATGTGTTATGAATTGATGTTTATCTAGCGTAATCTTAAATCTAGCGCACTTTATTTCATTTCCTGAATAAAGTATCTATATATAATCAAATTTTTGGGTAGACTTTTTTGGGATGACGAGAAATATTCAACAAAAATTCAGCAAAAATTCAGCAAAAAAAAAAGTGAATAGAACGGACCCTCGTTAGTGAAAAAAGGGAAAAAAAGCGGAAAAGTGAGCACTTTAATCATCATTTTTTCTTGTTTAAACAATATCTTTTCATATAAATCAACAATATAATATTTTAGTTCTGACTTTTTAGATAAAAGATTGTTTTGCAATTAAAATCAAACAGATTCTAGCTACTGGTCGCTACAAAAATATTGGGTTGGTGAATTGAAAACTGCGGGCCATTGTCATATGTGACAGTTTGAGCATTTTCTTCAAAAGAAACCCATTTTGGTGTCAATGGAAAAGTTGTAGAGAATCAAAAATCAAGCTTATATCCAGGTTTCCAAAAAGATACACTTGGTAGTTTCGCTAAAAATTTGTGTGTTCTGTGTGTTCTTCGTGCGGCCGCGTAGTCGCTCGTCGTCTGGCGCAGGGCTTTTACATAACCCCCTTCCCTCTGCCTTTCCCAAACTAATCTGGCCGGCTTCGAATCCTCAAATTGGACATTGACTTCTCCTCAAATCAAGGCTAATCTCAATCTATTGGATACGAAAACTACTGGAGACGCAAAAATGGAGGACTGGAGATGTCCCAGTGTCCCGGTTTGTCCCAAGATGTCCCAGTGTTCCAGTTTGAGCTCCAGATGTCCCAGTCTTCAAAAGAAACCCATTTTGGTGTCAATGTAAAAGTTGTAGAGAATCAAAAATCAAACTTATATCCAAATTTTCAGAATGATTCAAAAACTGGTTTTCAAGAAATGCCAATTTACGAAACTTTCACAAAACTTGCATTTTAAGCGAAACTACTAAGTGTATCTTTTTGGAAATTTGGCTATAAGCCTAATTTTTGTTTCTCTACAACTTTTCTATTGACACCAAAATGGGTTTCTTTTGAAGAAAGTGCCCAAACTGGGACCTCTCCAGTCCTCCATTTTTGAGTCTCACACTTGTCTCACACACAAGCCAAAATCCTACTACGAAAGAGGAATCCACAAATTGCCTGTAAAATGGGCAGAAGTCGTCAATAGTAATGGAAATTATTTGGAACGAATTGATGGTTTTATGTTGACTAAATTTTAGTTCAAAGTCCCACAGTTTTCAATTCACCAACCTAATAGGTTTTTGAAGTTTTTACAGAGCTCTGGTAGAGCTTTAAGATTTAGAAAATGAGCAAAAATGGCTAGAATCTATGGGAAAAGAGTTTCGCATATCGGTCAAGATCGAATAAAGTACAGAAAAGAAGTTTCAAGTCCAAGAATTGGGAGTCTAGGATGAAGATCGGGTCTAGGCTGAAGATCGGGTCTAGGATAAAGATCGGGTCTAGGATTTCATTCGCAGAAACAAAATCAATAGGATTTTCGTCTTAAAAGAAGCTCTTTCTTTTCACAAGTCCACAAAATTGTTTGCTTGTTTGTTTGTATTTTGTCGCCGTTTATGTGTCGATGGATCGAGTGAGAAAAGCGGGAAATCTCGCGAATCGACTGGATTTTCGCGCGGATGCGGTTCTTCTTTTACACCTTTTTCTTTCTCTCGATTCGATGACAAACAGGACATACACGCGAATTTTGTATCGGACACTTTTGCGCAGAAACTTTTGCGGGGAAAAACATCCCTAGGGTGAATCAAAAGCTTTGTGCTAACCGTTTACGTGTAGTTCTCCGAATGGAAACGGATTTTGTGGCAACAATTGAGTTTAACTCTTAGCATAAGTTTAAAACGCATCGAAATACAGTAACAGTAACTAAAAAGGACTAAAAACACTAAAACAAATCTTTTGTAAACTTTTTTTCCTTTAACTTCATGAATTAATCAAAAAATCATTGAGAATCGTCAGGATTTCATCCAAAATTCAATTTGAAAATAGTTTAAAAGAAGTCTGATCAATCGCCTTTCAGGCTAAGTATTTTATTTTGAACTTTAAGATAATTTCTAAGTGTTTGAACTTTTAGATATAGATTTTGGGTCAACGAATAGTCTCAAGTGATCAGCATAACTCGGAAACTAGTTGTTCGGAAACTACTGGTTTCCGAGTTATGTCCCCTAGTTGAATCCCTAAAAAATCATGTGATATTTAGCCTTTAAGAAAACTCGCTAAAGATAAAATATTTGATTTATAAAAAACAAAAAGCTTAACTATTAGGCTAAAGAATTAAAGAAAGAAGGGAAGAAAGAAGGGAAGAAAGAAGGGAAGAAAGAAGGGAAGAAAGAAGGGAAGAAAGAAGGGAAGAAAGGAGCTAAGAAAGAAGCGAAGAAAGGAGCGAAGAAAGAAGCAAAGAAAGAAGAAAGAAGTAAAGAAAGAAGCAAAGAAGCAAAGAAGCAAAGAAGCAAAGAAAGAAGTAAAGAAAGAAGTAAAGAAAGAAGTAAAGAAAGAGGTAAAGAAAGAGGTAAAGAAAGAGGTAAAGAAAGAAGTAAAGAAAGAAGTAAAGAAAGAAGTAAAGAAAGAAGCTAAGAAAGAAGCAAAGAAAGAAGTAAAGAAAGAAGCAAACAAGCAAAAAGCAAACAAAAATAAGTTAAAATTTCCTTTTGAAAATCTCTCTTTCATAAATTTCACTATCATTCAAATCAAGTGAAAGGAGAATGGATTTTGAGATCCGGAAAGAAGAATGAGATCCGTAAATTTGGTGTAGATAACCTATCAATCAATGGCGTTAAAAGGCAAAGATAAAGATAAAGATAAAGACAAAGACAAAGACAAAGACAATCTTTCACCGATTTATTATGTACATACATACAAATTCGTTTCTTTAAATCAATTTAAATATTAGTTTGATAAGAAAGTTCGTAGACAAAAGTTTGCACAGTGATTTCTCAAAAACCAATCCAGGAAATTCTTTCCAAATTTCTCTGATAAACTTGACTATATTTCAAAAAAAGTTTTTGACAAAAAAAATCCGAGTGGGCTTTAGGTAAAAAACAAAGAGATTTCTTCAGCTGAAGCTATTTGTGACACTTTTTAAGTGGTCAACCTTTAGACAAGTTTAATTGGTTTTAATTGGTTTTAATTGGTTTTAATTGGTTTTAATCGGTTTTAATTGTCTTTAATTGGTTTTAATTGGTTTTAATCTCTTTTAATTTCTTTTAATTGGTTTTAATTGGTTAATGAATAGGCAATTGGTCTCATTTAATGGTTTTGAATGGGACCCATTGCTTATTCGTTAACCAATTAAAAACTTGTCTAAAGGTTGGTCACTCAAAAAGTGACCATGCTAACTTTAAAAGCTTTTAAATTAAAGCTAACATAAATAAGCAATACTCTCTATAATCTCTTATTTTCTCGATTTCTCTATTTCTTTATAAAGAATCGTTTTTTTCGTGCAAAAAAGTGAGCTGCATTTAAGCTGGAAAATAAGAAATTTCTTTTAAAATCTCGAAAACTTTATTGAAAAGCTGGACTCATTTTTTTGCGAGTAATTTCTTTGAGTCAACTTGTAAATAATAGAATATAATCTTCTTGAATTGATGGATTTGTTTTGAAGAAATTCCCGTCAAACTTTTTCCGAGAACTTTCTTTTACAACTTAATAGAAAACCTTATAGAAAACCGAATAGAAAACAATAGAAAACCCAATAAAAAACCTAATAGAACTACTTTAAGTCGATAGAAGAGTCGTCTTTTCTTTCCTAGATTATTTAAATCAATTTCATCGACTTTTTGCAGAGATATCTCGAATAGTGAAATCCGGCCAACCACCATCCCCACGTTTTCGGCTTTTCCGGGTAACAAGTGGCATCGTTGTGAATCTGCAAAATAAAGTACAATGCTTAATCTGTTAGCAGATCTGCTAACAGATCTGTAAACATCTATCAAATCATCAAAACTAACACAAAGCACCCATCCACATCCACATAACTATACCCTGACCAAATAATTTTTGTCAAAAACAAAAGTTTTTTCTCAAGTTGCTGAAGAGGAAATGTGTTAAATGTTAATACTAAAATTTGTATAAGTACTACCGTATTTCTTCGAATAGAAGACCGGCTAAAGAGTATGATCGCGTACTCCTGCGTAGCAGCCCTTTTTAAAATTTCTTTTCCGCATAAAAGCTTTCAATGAAGTGCTATAGGGCTGGAAAATGACTCAAAAATACCACATGAGCTAACAGATTTTTGAGCCATTTTCCAGCTCTATAGCACTTGATTGAAAGCTTTTATGCGGAAAAGAAATTTTAAAAAGGGCTGCTACGCAGGAGTACGCAATGATACTCTTTACCCGGTCTTCTATTCGAAGAGATACGGTGAATTTGAACAGAAAACAAGTAAAATTGAATAGCTTGAATAACTTTTCGAAAAAATACCGAAAAAGCTCAGAAAATAACCCTTTAAACACAAGGTAATGCTTAATTTTCGTCTCCTGAAATTTAAAACACTGTAGCTCAGTCAAAGATGTTCAGATCAGCCCATACAAGGTATCAAAATAAACCCTAGACTCTTTTCTACAATTTCCAATCAGAAACCCTTGACGAGAATCTGTTTGAGTGGGCTAAAATGCGATCAGAAGGCGTCAAAGTCGGTTTCTCATTCCAAAAGTGCGACTTCGACAACGTTTCTGACGCGAGATCTGCGATAGACTATTGTTCCAAGCACTTTTTATGATCAAACCAGAAGAATTACACAAGATAATAGCAGATTACACTGGGAATTTTGTAAAAAATCTCAAAATACAGATCGATCTCGTATCTTTCAACCAGGTTGACCAAAAGCAGCTTTTTTTATTTGTTCTTGGATGATAGGATTTTTGCCGCTTATTCGCCAAAATAGAGGTTCAATTGATTATTAAATGTTATTCTTTTACTCCTTTTTTGATAATAAAGTTTCATTTAAGTAAGGGTATAATTATGTGGATTGGGCAAAGACGATTTTTCTCGATCTAAAACGCTTTCTGATGCACTTAGTTCCTCCAGCTTTATCATTTACCTACTTTAGAATGGAAACAAACGCTTTCTGATGCACTCAGTTCCTCCAGCTTTATCATTTACCTCAAATCCACAATTGTACATCTCAGCAATCACGCAATCACCCGTGCCAAAGTCACAGTAATCCAACGAAGTCCCATCAAGCCAATAAGTCGTGTTTGGCGACGGTGAATGGGCAAGTCCTGAAGAGAAACTGATTAGTAATATAATGAGATTTTTAAATGTTTAAAATAAGTTTAAGGAGGGTTTGTTTCTAAGCTTAAAAGGCTTAAAAACAGCTTAAAAAGCCTTTCTTTACGTCTATTTTATTTCTAATCAATCCACCAACCAATCCACGTCCATCCCCAATCGCACGGCCTATTGTAGCCGGGATCTGTCTCGTTAACGAATTGAGCGTAGACCAAATCTGAAATTTTAAACAACAATGATATTCTCTAAAATGGAATGATTACAAAAGCCTTACCGTACACGAAATCACTTTCGGCTTTCGAGTGAATCGATGCCAATTGTGAGCCCATTTCGACACAGTTCTCTTGAGCGTCCGTGAAATTGTAGAGAATCCAATTTCCATCATCGTTCAATTGAATTGGCTGAGAATTGTAAATTGTAAAACTTCAGTTTTGCTTTCAAACCTTTAAATAGTAGCACGAATCTCCGAAAGGCACCCAATTCGACGGACAATTCGGCGGATTCGATTGAAGATCTGAAATGGAGAGCAGTGCAGCAGAAAGGTGCGTTTACACTTGTTTACAAAGCACATTGAGAACCAGGAGCAATTAAAGATCAAAAAACAACTCACACGTCATGCAGGCATAGCTCGTCGATTGGTGACAATCCCTCGCGTACCAATACGTTGAGTTGTTCATGATCGCGCACGAGTATTGATTGTTTGGCTCTCCTAAAGAATTGAGTTAATATTTTCTGGTCCAGCAGCTCAAGATTTGCTCAGGCTGACCAGGGTCAGAGCCAAGTCAGATAAGTTTAGAGCTAGGTCAGGCTAGATCAGGTTCAAAGCCAGGTCACTGGAGTCAGGCTAGATCAGGATCAAAGACAGCTCAGGCTAGTCCAGGCTCTTTAAGTCAGCATCAGTTCATGCTCAGCTCTGTAGGATTACTGTAAGCTGACTCACCTACTGCCCATCGAGAATAGATCAGCGTACTCCCATCCGAATACGTCCAAACACCCGCATCATTCTTGACGACACCGATGAAAAAGTCCGATGTTTGACCCACTAAACGACCTGATCGGCTTTTACGGAGCTTACTCACATTTGTTGGCAAATGAGGCAAAAACATTGTTGACGAAGACGTTTGAGATATTCGGCAGAAAAGCTCCATTCATGGCACATTGGTGAGAAGCCGAATCAAAGGAACCATCACTGGAAAAGATAAGTCACGTTCTTTTAGTTCCCTAGCGCTTAAACTATTGCGTACAATATTTGCGTTATTAGGTGGAAAGGACCGTAAAACATAGCACAGCCTAAAACAAATCCGAGAAAGCTATACTATCATTCTGTATCAGGGCTCTAGTAGTGTTCTGGTGTAGGGTTCGTTAAATTCGAGAGTATGAAAGTTCCATTTCTAAGCCCTGATCAGGGTGGGGATGACCTTAGACATAAAACTACCAGAAGGAAACCTTTCAGCTTCTGAGAACTCGCAGATTCGATCAAATTCGAACAAATTCGATCAAATTCTTGTTTATATATGTTCCAAAATCTACTCACTTTACGGTGGGAATATCAACAACAACACAAATCCCTTGGTCGGGTACCGCCGTATAGTAAGGTGGGCAATAATCAGCAGTTGCTACACCAAATATAAATCCGAAAATGAAAAAGAACAACATATTTGCACTCATCGAACAATATAGTTATTCTTTGCAAAGCTTTCTTGAGCAAATTCCACGGGAATTTTCCTTATCTCTGACTATTTATGAACCGCGAAAGTGCCAACAAAATGACCTAGAGTGATGATTTTTCGAAAAACGTGCCTCGTACTGGAATGCTTGTGATGCAAAACCAGAATGTTTGTGATTCTGGAGTTGAAAAACCGCTTGGGTACGAGAAATGTTCTTATAAAAAAAATCAAATAATTTCTTACACGCTGGCCGTGAAGAACTTTCAAAGATTGAGGTGATGATTGAGGTAGAGTCATGTGTCGAGATGTAGCCGCATCAAGACGGAAGCCTTCTTGAACATCTGGTAGCTTTTGAGCAGCATAGCGAGCAGAACATCGTGAAGTAAAAGCCTAAATCTTTAACATTAACTAAACTCTAAAAACACAAACTTTTAGAAAAGAATTGTAAGATTCCTGAGACGAGTTGCTCACTTTTTTCATAAATATCAACATTTTTTGTGGTGAACAAGAAAATATCGTTTGGCAAAACAACGCCGTTCAAAACAGTGCGCTTTTTTGAAACAAAACAAAACAGCGCGCTGCAGCGCCAAATTTAAAGACTTTAATGCAGATTAACCAAGGCTCTTTTAAGGTTTCCGTTTTCTAAGGTTTTCGATAAAAGCTTTAGTTTTTTCGGCATTCTCAAGTAAAATAGTAGATTTTTATTCATCTGGTAGCTTTTGAGCAGCATAGCGAGCAGAACATCGTGAAGCAATCTCTAAATCTTTAACATTGACTAAACTTTAAAAACACAAACTTTTAGAAAAGAATTGTAAGATTCCTGAGACGAGTTGCCAAGTTGTTCACCACGATAGATTGTATCATACAGAGTTTCATGTTTCAATGGAGTGTGTCGGTCGAACGAAGAGACTATTTTGAACAAATCCAACAAAAGACTTTTTGAAGTACGAATATAAGCCTAATTTAAAAAATTAAATCTATAACAAAGATAAAAAACAAACTTTGAAAATCGTTAATAACGGAGGGCATTTGTTTGAAGGCTTCATCTCGAAGTGCACGAAAATATCACAAGACATCAACAGGTTTTATGAATGTTAGTGCAAGCAATCCTTTCACATAGACAAACGTATTTGAATCACAATAAATGTCTTGTAGTTTTTTCTCCTAAAAGAAAAGATAAATATTATAAAAACAAAAGTTTAATAACCTTAATTTTGTGGAAGACGGCCTTGAAGAAATGAAAAAAACAGAAATGGATGATTGCTGGATTGCCGTGGACTGCCATAAAAACCGTTGACGGCGCTACAGTGTATCTCACGTATCTAAAAATATAAACAAGCAGCAATAAGTTAAACAAAACAATAAGTACCTCTTGTGTTTCTTTTAATTGCAGGCAGGTCGTAGCGTGCTCGTTGGTGACAGAAAGGACTCCAGTCGTTTCATCTTTATGCATCCTTCCCTAGCAGTTTTTTTTGGTACAACTGAAAGAAAACTTAAAAATATTCAACGAAAAATATACAAAGGAAATAGTAAAAAAAATTACCGATAAGTTGTAGCTACCCCTTTTCGGATTGTTTTGTCCTTCCGATACTCGTGGACATCTTCATCGTAAAGTAGCACTCCATCTTTCTGAGATAGCGACATCCCTACAGAAAAATGTTGAGAAACAAAAATTTTGCAGAAAAGAGTAAAAACTAGCTTATCTTAGTCGTCTTAATAAGTTTAATCTCTCTTAATCTTAAGGCTTAATCCTCCCGTAAACTTTTTAGCAACAAAAAGCATTTGTGATTGCCGCTAGCATTTTTTTTGCAAGTTTGCATGATTTTTATGAGAAGATCAAGGATTGATATCAGGCAGACTATGAGATTCTCGAGCTGCTCACAAGTTCACTCATTAAACAAGAGAGGCGCGAGCTTGGGGCACTGCTTCGTGCACACGCCAATGCACACGATCGAAAATTCCTTGACAACACTGGTCAATGAACCAAGCGTTTGGTTTGATAGCGTAAATTGGCATATGCAATTATAAAAACAGATAAAAACGCCTAGAAAATGAAGAATAAAACATTATCTCGCTTGATTCGTTGACCAGTGTTGACCATTCATTTGACTACCTCTTTGACTCCGGATGTTGCGTCGTGTCGCCGCTTCTTGCGCAATTCACGAGCCTAAACAAAGAAATATGTTAACTGTAAGCAAATTATAGACGAAAATGGCAAGGAACGATGAAAAAAGCATACTATTGGAGGAAAGATATCATAAAGCTAGCAAATTTACACATTTCCATCAGAAAAACCTTAAATACGAGCTAATCCAAGAAATTTTTTCGCGCATTTGGTGCCTACCGCCGTGCTCTAAATCAAACTTGTGAAAAAAGTGTAAAAAGTAAAGTAAAAAGTGTAAAAACAGAAGCAAACCCTAAAAAAAACATGCAAAAGCAGCCTAGAGTGCAAAAATATTAAAATCTAGTCGCACTGAAATGAACGTTTTCCAGTCATTTTTGGCACGACGCTGAAATGAGCACGTGCCGAACCGTTGGCGCTTAAATGAGCGGCGCCGAATTTTTCGTGCTCATGCAACTACTTCCCTTAATTTTTAAAGACGTTTCAAGTAAAACCATGTTTCAAAAATCCCTCAAAAGGTAAAATATATTCAGCTAGGTTAAATGCTTTCAAAGTACGCTAATCATTGCACGAATCCTCAAGTACAATATCAAATTGTACTTGGGGATTCGTGCAATGGCTAGCGTACTTGTCATAATTGTCAATTTGACGGCTTGTCCCGTCCGTTTCTCTCCTTTTTCGTGCTCTTTCTCGACGACCGGAATCCGCTCGACCGTCGTGCCCAAATTTTTGCAAAACGAAAAAGCGCCGTGCTTGAATTCGTCCTTCCTTTCTGGAAAAAAAAGAATATTACTAAATTTTGAGGAACAAGATCACTAGGGAGCACTAGGGCAAACGCTCAGAATTCTAGGACTCTCGGATTTCGTGGCAGCTCGTTTTTTCATAGATTGTGTAGAAAAAGTCAGAAAGTATTTACCCTAAAGTCGCGAGTATAAGTTCTGTCTGGTTTTCGCATGCAAATTGACGGCTGTATGCAAATTGACGGTGTGTCGAGGGTTCGAATCCCGCTGCAGCATAACTTTTTTGCTTTTTAAGAACAATAGAAGTAAATTTATTGAGGGTTATAGCAATTTTATGCTGTTATTTGTTGCTCCGGGCGTGGCTCGGCGCGTCCGCCCTGCTCCTCTCCGGTGCTCAGTCTTATGGATCCCTCCCTGGCCTCTTCATCCGGCCAAAGTCCACGTCGACGGTCGAAAGAGATGCTTTCCAGCGTCTTCTTCAACACTATCGTCTGGATGTATCCATGCACATAACAAATAGCAATGGTGATAGGCTGTCACCCTGTAGTATCCCGCGCTCCAAGAACAATAATAAAAGTTTATATAACAATAAAAATGTATAAAAACCCAACAAAAAGAAATTCAAAGCAATTAAAGCGACATAAAAAAGAATTCTGTGCTTAGCTTCGAAACTGATGATCACACCGGGAAAAATTCCTTTAGGAAGAGTCTTGTGCTTGAAAATGAGCATCGGTGGGAGTTTCGATCCATCGGCTAGAATTCCGAGCACAACTGTGGAATTCGTCTTCTCATTTCCCGTTGAAGCAATTGAAATATCACCCTTTCCTATTACTTCGACTGTTCGGTTGGAAACAATATCGATCTTTCTCCACATCCGGTCATTTTGCCTTCAATCCTCGCTAAGCTCGATTATTTTTTGGTGAAGTCATCAGTGCCGGCTCAGCTTGTTTCCAGCGGTTAATCATCTGTTCGGCGACTTCAAATTCGATCGCAGCCGCGTTCGTTCCAAATATCCTCGCAAATTTGACCGCTTCGAGCTTCGTTTCGGCGGTGTACGACTTTCTCCTCATCGTATCTAAAATGAAAAAACGTTAGTAAAATAAAAAATAAAAAAAAAACAAAAAAAACAATAAAAAACAAAAAAAACAAAAAAACAATAAAAATTAAAGAAAGAAGAAAATTTTCCATCCCTTTAAATGCCCTTTAAATGTAAATTCAGAACTTATATTCGGATGAACTTATACTCGCGACTTTAGGGTAGTAGAAGACAAAAATTCCGCAAGCATAGCAAAAAAAGCAATCGCAACTTAGCTTCGAATCCAATTACAACTTGCCGAGCCAAGCTCACACAAAACGCGAGTTGTTAGCCTAGAATGCAAAAATATTAAAATTTAGTCGCACTGAAATGAACGTTTTCCAATCGTTTTCCAATTTTTGGCGAATCGTTGCCACTCAATTTTTGACGCTCAAATGATTGCCTCCCGAAAAACACGCGTCCAAAACTCTATCACTTTTCTGTTTTCTGTATTTGCTTAGATCTTCAGATCAGGCGGCAACAGGGCAGTCAGGCGGCACGGTACGATGGTTAGTGTGCTATTTAGAATTCGACAATCTACCGGATTACATATTCGATAGAAAAGTGGTAACGAAAATTGTTCTATTGATAGTTTTGAACTTTCAGCTTTCAAAACCATCGAATGAATCACGAAAATATCGAATTTTTTGATGTCCGCCATCAAATTTCTCAGCAATTTTTGTGATTTCTGTATTTGTCGACTCATTCCAGCGCTCAACCGCACCAAAATCTTTCTATTTTTCTCTTCTTTCAAGCAAAAAGCGGCATAAGCCAAGCATTTCTCTGCAGTTCTCTATTTGCTTTTCACTTCAAAAGCGAGAAAAGGCAAAAGGCGCATAAAAAAACTTTGTGTGACCGTTAAAATTTAATTTTGCCGTGTCGGGGTCTATTTTTGGCAAAAACTTGGTTGAAACACAGATTTTTGGTGATTTCATTTTGATAGATCTGGGTTTTTTCGAAATTTTTTCCATTTCAAGTCTTTTTTTGTGTTCTTTTCTGTTCTCTTCTGTTATCTTGTGCTTTCTAGGATTGTCTGAGGAATGATTGTTGAATAATTCTTCAAGCGAGTCGTTATGGTTTCAGAATTGATCATTTCTTGTTTTGAAAATCTTCTTCTAGAAGCTAGATGCACTTTTTTACCAAAATAGAATCCAAAATCGAATCCAAAATAGAATCTTCATTTATCTAAAAAGCCATTTCATTCAAAACAACAAAATTCCCTTCTCCAGAAACCGTTTTCTAAAATTTGTTTTCTTTTCTACCGTAATCTTGTCTCTTTTTGTCTCTTTTTGATCTTTCTGTACCGGTACAAACCAAAAAAGTGAATAGATTCGATCAAAAACAGACACAAGCTTACGATAGTCGAAGAAAAGAGACACTAGAATGGATTAGAAAAAGGAAAACCCACTCAACTGCTTAACGAGTCCGAGCAAAATTTTCTGACACTTTGCCTTTGCCTCGTTTTTTTATTGCCCAAAGCTCTTTCGAGTATGAAACCCAGTTCCCCCGCAAGCCCTTATTCTAAGCTTCATTTTGATACTAAACATGGCTAGATTCTGTCTTGCCATTCTTTAGATTTCGATCATTTTAGATCAAAAATTTTCTGGATTCGTTAAGGTTATCGAGTCCGGCGAAAAATTGATCGAAATCTAAAGAATAGCAAAAAAGAACCTAGCAATGTTTAGTATCAAAATGAAGCCTAGAATATGGGCTTGCGGGGGAACTGGGTTTCATGCTTGAAGAAGCTTTGGGTAGTAAGAAAAACGAAGAGCGAGGCAAAGTGTCTGAAAATTTTGCTCGCACTCGTTAAGCAGATCTAGTCTTGAATTAAAAAAGGCTACAGAAAACTAGGAAATTCGTTTGTTTAATTGAAAATCTTTTCTTTATCTTCTCTTTCTTTTCTAATTGAATATCGAAAGCTTGGTTATCGAAGGCTTGGTTATCAAAATTGGTTATCGGTTAATTGGTTATTCAAATTGGTTATCGGTTAATAGGTTATCGGTTAATTGGTTATCCAAATTGGTTATCCAAATTGGTTATCGGTTAATTGGTTATCCAAATTGGTTATCGGTTAATTGGTTATCCAAATTGGTTATCGGTTAATTGGTTATCGGTTAATTGGTTATCGAAATTGGTTATCCAAATTGGTTATCGGTTAATTGGTTATCCAAATTGGTTATCCAAATTGGTTATCGGTTAATTGGTTATCGAAGGCTTGGTTATCGAAATTGGTTATCAAAATAGGTTATCGGTTAATTGGTTATCGAAAGCTTTTCTCAGAGATCTCTTCTATAATTCAATTACTGCTTTTGCCAAATCATAGCCAGCTTTTTCCTGTTCCTAGCCAGCTTCTAGAAGAGATCTCTGAGAAAGCCAGCCAGCTTCTTATCAATGCTTCATGTTTCCCAAAATTGCATCATCATTCTTTTTGGATTTAATGGATTTAATGGATTATTTCTAGTATTTATTTCTTTTTTCCATCTTTTCATGTTTGTATCTATCAGCTTTCAGCAGCAGCTTTCAGCAGCATATTTCAGCAGCAGCTTTTCAGCAGCCAATTCAGCTCACTCGTTTATTATTTTGGGTCAAATTTCATTTGCAATACGAAACAGAAAGGAGAGCAAATATTTCTGCGAAAAGAAGAGTGAAAATTCCTTGCGAAAATGCCAAGAAACAAAGCGAATTCAGGTTTATTTCAAAAATTTCTAGAATCATTTTCCATTTAAGAGGATTTTGTCCATTTAAAATCCCCAATTTCCCTATTTCCTGTCGAAGAAATTTGATTACAATTGGGCGAATTGAAGAAATTTGACTACAATTGAGCGAATTTTCATTACAATTTTCATTACAAAACCTAGAAAACCCAGAAAAGCTGAAAAATTCTCGATTTTTATTCAAATCCAATAGATTTCTTCTAAAAAATTTGACAAACATCAATTTCGACAAACAATGAGCAGACGAAGCTTTTCAGACGCTATGCAGCACCCGATCGATGACCAAAGCCGTGAGTTTTTCGATGGGAAATTCGATTGAAAGTTGTAAATTTGAAAAAATCACATAATTAATGTGGAAATTTGATTTTAAATCTACAAAACCACGAAAAGTTTGAATTATTTTCACTAAATTATGATAAAATTTGAGAAAACTTTGTCTTTTGAGCAAATTCGAAGCAATTCAAAGCAATCCAATTCAAATTCGAAGCAATTCAAAGCACGCCTCATCAATTTACCCTATTTTACCCAAAACATTTAGTTCAAATTATCAAATTTCGATTTTAAATCGTTCAAAATGTTCCTACAGTATTAAATTTAACCTTAACGTGGAATTTTTTTGAATCTCAAGTGCTAGAGCACTTTGGCCAAGTGCTCTAGCATCAAAAGTCAGCCAGCAGCCCGTTTACGCAGCCAGTAGCCCGTTAACGCAGCCAGCAGTTCGTTAACGCAGCCAGCAGCTCGTTAACGCAGCCAGCAGCTCGTTAACGCAGCCAGCAGCCCATTTCCGCAGCCAGCAGCCCATTTCCGCAGCCAGCAGCCCATTTCCGCAGCCAGCAGCCCATTTCCGCAGCCAGCAGCCCATTTCCGCAGCCAGCAGCCCGTTTACGCAGCCAGTAGCCCGTTAACGCAGCCAGCAGCCCATTTCCGCAGCCAGCAGCCCATTTCCGCAGCCAGCAGCCCATTTCCGCAGCCAGCAGCCCGTTTACGCAGCCAGCAGCTCGTTAACGCAGCCAGCAGCCCATTTCCGCAGCCAGCAGCCCATTTCCGCAGCCAGCAGCCCATTTCCGCAGCCAGCAGCCCATTTCCGCAGCCAGCAGCCCATTTCCGCAGCCAGCAGCCCGTTTACGCAGCCAGTAGCCCGTTAACGCAGCCAGCAGCTCGTTAACGCAGCCAGCAGCCCGTTTACGCAGCCAGTAGCCCGTTAACGCAGCCAGCAGTTCGTTAACGCAGCCAGCAGTTCGTTAACGCAGCCAGCAGCTCGTTAACGCAGCCAGCAGCTCGTTAACGCAGCCAGCAGCCCATTTCCGCAGCCAGCAGCCCATTTCCGCAGCCAGCAGCCCATTTCCGCAGCCAGCAGCCCATTTCCGCAGCCAGCAGCCCATTTCCGCAGCCAGCAGCCCATTTCCGCAGCCAGCAGCCCATTTCCGCAGCCAGCAGCCCGTTTACGCAGCCAGTAGCCCGTTAACGCAGCCAGCAGCTCGTTAACGCAGCCAGCAGCCCGTTTACGCAGCCAGTAGCCCGTTAACGCAGCCAGCAGCTCGTTAACGCAGCCAGCAGCCCATTTCCGCAGCCAGCAGCCCGTTTACGCAGCCAGTAGCCCGTTAACGCAGCCAGCAGCCCATTTCCGCAGCCAGCAGCCCATTTCCGCAGCCAGCAGCCCATTTCCGCAGCCAGCAGCCCGTTTACGCAGCCAGCAGCTCGTTAACGCAGCCAGCAGCCCATTTCCGCAGCCAGCAGCCCATTTCCGCAGCCAGCAGCCCATTTCCGCAGCCAGCAGCCCATTTCCGCAGCCAGCAGCCCATTTCCGCAGCCAGCAGCCCATTTCCGCAGCCAGCAGCCCGTTTACGCAGCCAGTAGCCCGTTAACGCAGCCAGCAGCTCGTTAACGCAGCCAGCAGCCCGTTTACGCAGCCAGTAGCCCGTTAACGCAGCCAGCAGCTCGTTAACGCAGCCAGCAGCCCATTTCCGCAGCCAGCAGCCCGTTTACGCAGCCAGCAGCCCGTTTACGATTGATTTTTTGATTCAATTTGATTTGATTTGAAATTTGATTCAATCCCAAAAACTCGAATGACGAGCTTTTGACTTTTAAAAGCTTGACTGATAAAATCACGACTTTTTTTTGCATATTCAACCTAACTCAATACTTTTATTCATCACTTATTTGCTTTTTCAATTTCTAATAATGTTTTAAGAGCCAAAATTTGCGCTTATTTTCTTTTTCATTTCGCGTTTTTTACTTTCGAATGTCAACTGTTTTAAATGTTTTTTTTTGTCAATGAAACCTAAACTTTCTCTTCATCTTAATGTAGATCGGGGTTACTGGTGATATTTTTTGCACATGGATAATCACAATTTACATATTAAGACCTAGGGAATATTCTATCGTTTGTGAGGATGGGACGATGTAGGAGGCGATGTAGGAGACGATGTAGGAGGCGATGTAGGAGACGATGTAGGAGACGATGTTGGAGATGATCTGGGAGACGATGTAGGAGACGATGTTGGAGATGATCTGGGAGACGATGTAGGAGACGATTAATGCCTTCCCTTTAAAGTTAAAGCTTGAGAAAAATTGAGAAAACTTGAAAAAACTGTTTGTTTTTTTGTTCTTTTTCATAAAAATCCTCTTTTTCAATTCTTTATCAAGTTATCTCGCGAAAATTTCACTTTTTAATGATCGAAAAGCAAGAGAACCAGTTTTTTTCCTTCTTGATAATCTTTTTTTACATGTTTTTAAGAAAATGGATTGATTGATTGATTGTTCAATTGGTTGATTAATTGGTTGATTAATTGATTGATTAATTGATTGATCAATTGCTTGATCAATTGGTTGATCGATTGGTTGTTCAATTGGTTGATCGATTGATTGTTCAATTGGTTGATTAATTGCTTGATCAATTGGTTGGTCGATTGATTGATCAATTGATTGATCGATTGGTTGATTAATTGGTTGATTAATTGGTTGATTAATTGATTGATTAATTGATTGATCAATTGCTTGATCAATTGCTTGATCAATTGGTTGATCAATTGGTTGATCGATTGGTTGTTCAATTGGTTGATCAATGATTGTTCGATTGATTGTTCAATTGATTGTTCAATTGATTGATCGATTGATTGATCGATTGGTTGTTCAATTGATTGATTAAAAACGGTTAAAACGTCGGTTCTATGCTGGAAATCTTTTTTCGCAAACTCTACTCCAATTCTATCAACAATTACTCATTGAAAGCATCAAAAACGATGTTCATATCCGAAAAAACATCAAAAAGCGATAAATGGACTCCAATTATCCCGGAAAACCCCCAAAAAATCCCTCAATTTTGCACAATTGACTTTAAAAATGACAAATCCGACCAGACAATGACTTATTTTTGGCGTTAAATGTTGAAATTTAGATTTTCTATTCAAATTTCCTCTTGAATTCATCTGAATTACTGAATTTATTCATTTACTCTTTTTTTGTCATTTGTTTCTTTTAATTTCAAACTTTTAGAGGCTGTATAAAAAGGCTTTTTTATAGAAAACAACTTAGAAATTATTTTTTTAAAGTTTCCATCATTTTTTTCATATTTTTATTGATTTTTTCCCATTCTTGGATGAAAAGATCAACAAGAATACGAGAAAAAAGCTCTCTTTTCTTCTATTCTGTTCTCTTGTTCTCGTTCTCTTGTTCTCGTTCTCTTGTTCTCGTTCTCTTGTTCTCGTTCTCTTGTTCTCGTTCTCTTGTTCTCGTTCTCTTGTTCTCGTTCCTTGTTCTGTTCTCTTGTTCTCGTCCTTGTCCGTTCCTTGTTCCGTTCTCTTGTTCCGTTCTCTTGTTCTCGTTCTCTTGTTCCGTTCTCTTGTTCTCGTTCTCTTGTTCTCGTTCCCTTGTTCCGTTCTCTTGTTCTCGCTCTTGTTCTCGTCTCTTGTTCTCGTTCTCTTGTTCTCGTTCTCTTGTTCTCGTTCTCTTGTTCTCGTTCTCTTGTTCTCGTTCTCTTGTTCTCGTTCTCTTGTTCTCGTTCTCTTGTTCTCGTTCTCTTGTTCTCGTTCTCTTGTTGATTCTCGCACAATTGACACCCGAGGATTGGAACAAGGAGAACCGTCCACATCGGGACTGTCACCACCAACTTGTCTCCGATCTTTCTCTCGAGTGATGGGAGTGCCCCCGAGCTTTTCTTGGGTAACTGAAGCATTTAGATTCGAGTATTATTTGTTGACTTTCTCTGCCTTGTATCACTTTCTCTTTGCTCTTTTCATAAACAACTTCTTTTTCTTTCATCTTTCAAGTGCTTCTTTTAAATTCCCTTAAATTTTACCATTTAAAAGATTTATTGATTTTCTAAAAGCTCCTGTCTTGAGTGTTGCATCGAGGTCTTCGTAGAAGGCTTCTCGTTCGTCTTCCTCGGCTTCGGAGGTAGCGTAGCAGCTGTAGACGGCGATTTCGGAGGAGTAGGCTTTCTGGTCAACAAGGACATCGTTGTTTATGAAAAGAGCAAAGAGAAAGTGATGCAAGGCAGAGAAACTCAACAAATAATACTCGAATCTAAATGCTTCAATTTACCCAAGAAAAGCTCTGGTTTCTCGATGGCTTGAGGTGGAGGACTGCGAGTCGTGGAGAGATGATCTCATCGCTATCAACGAGGGGCACGATGTCCTTGTTGACGAGGAAGCCTACTCCTCCGATGTTCTTGTTGGTGACTTTGTGGCCGAGTATGAGCAGGTCGCCGTTCGCCTGTGTCTTCGTGTAGTCATCTTTGACCTTTTCTTGAAGGGCGGTGCTGTCTAATTTGATCTTCTTGCTCATCTCATGGATGTCTTATCGTCTTGCGAGGCGGCTGTCCTGGCGTTGAAAGTGCAGAGTCGGAGGCTTGAGCTTTGTCGTCGAGTTCCGTTCCTTGGTCCGTTGTCCATATCCTGATGGGACATCGGGACTGTCACCACCAACTTGTCTCCAATCTTTCTCTCGAGTGATGGGAGTGCCCCCGAGCTTTTCTTGGGTAAATTGAAGCATTTAGATTAGAGTATTATTTGTTGAGTTTCTCTGCCTTGTATCACTTTCTCTTTGCTCTTTTCATAAATAACTAGTGCTTCAATTAAATTACCTTAAATTTTATCATTTAAAAGATTTATTGATTTTCTAAAAGTAGGTTTTAACGAATTTGAGAATGCTAGCATTTTTTTGTTTTTTCAAATAAGCAAAACTTTGAGAAAAGGTGCTTTTTTTGGATTTGCAACTCTTTGAGAAGGATTTTCCATATCCTTTCGGATTTGCAACTCTTTGAGAAAGATTTCCCTTATCCTTCCGGATT